TCCTAGTTCATTTTACGAAGCTGGTATTACTTTAAAAAAAAAAAAAAAGGTTTATTTATTTATTTGAAAGGCAGAGTTACAGAGAGGCAGAGAAAGAAAGAGAAGTCTTCCATCCATCTGCTGGTTCACTCCCCAAATGGCCCCACTGGGCCAATCTGAAGCCAAGAACCAGGAGCTTTTTCCTGATCTCTCACGGGACTTGAACTGGCGCCCATATGGGATGCCAGCCCTGCAGGCGGCAGCTTTACCTGCTATGCCACAGCACTGGCCCCTAGTATTACTCTTAAAACTAAGATAATATAAGAAATAAATGCTACAGATTGATCTCCTTTTTGAATACAGATGTTAAAAACCTTAAGAAAATTTTGACAGCACCGTTGTTACAGTAACCATATAGTTGTTTCTCATTCGTCCCGATTTTTCCTTTAATTGTTCTCCTTAATCCAGTAATTTTGCCTTAATGTCTTAATAATTCATGTCTCACCTCAGCTTGGTGTCACACTTCTGGTTTTGTTTTTTTTTTAAAGATTGATCTATTTTATTTGAAAGAGTTACATAGAGAGAAGGAGAGGCAGAGAGAGAGAGAAAGAGAAGACCTCTAAACCTCTTGGGGTTTTAGTTTCATTTGATGTTAATGTGCTGGCAACCCCCCACCACACACCCACTCTTCTATGCAGGCTTATCTGGCCAAGGTTGCTACTTCTTATATAAAAGGAGCTGACTGCAGGAATGAACAGAAATTCAATATGTATATTTTAGTCTTACTGTTGAAGGATTTAAAAACATATATAATTCTCTTGTTTCAAATATTTTATTACAACTCGAGTGAATTATTGGTCTTTTATCATGAAAAATTTCTAAAAAATGTTATGATAAACATCATATATCCGTCATCTAGATTCACAATTTAGTAACATTTTTTAAAAACTGCTTTAACATTTTTAAAACATCGTTAAAAATTTGAGTGGGGTCCATGCTGTGGAGTAACGGTTAACTCGCGGCCTGCAGTGCCAGCATCCCATATGGGCTGCTCTGCTTGTGATCCAGCTCCCTGAGAATGCACCTGGGAAGGAGCTGAAGATGGCGCAAGTGCGTGGGCCCTTGCCACCTACACGGGAGACCCGGACAAAGCTCCTGGCTCCTGACTTCCGCCTGGCCGTTGTGACCATTTGGAGAGAGAACCAGCAGATGGACAACCTCTCTCCCAATCTCTCTGTAACTCTGCCTTTCAAATAAATAAAAAATAAATCTTAAAAAAAAAGTATTTGTTTAAAAAACTTTTTTAAAGAGTGACATCCCATCTACTGATTCATTCCCCCAGTATCTGCAATGACTATGAGTGGGTTAGGCTGAGGTGCAAAGCCTCGAGCTGAATCCAGGTCTCCTATGTGGGTGTCACTTGAGCCATCACAGCTACTCTCCAGGGTCTGCATTAGCAGGAGGCTGGAGTTAAGAGCCAGAGCTGGGTACTGAACCCAAGCACTCCAATATGAGACACATGGGCATCTTAATCCATGTGCCACAGTAAAGGCCTGCCCTTGCCAGCATTGTTTTTCCTATACCGGTTGACTGGTCGTTATGCAAAATGCTTGGGAACAGAAATATTTTGGATTTTGAAATATTTGCCTATACATTAGATATCTTGGGGGTATGGGACCCAAATCTCAACATGAAATTCATTTATATGTCATAGATACTTTGTACACATAGCCAGAAGGTAATTTTGTACATTTTTAGTGCACCAGCATTTTGACTGCAACCCATCACATGAAGTAATGAGTAGAATTCCCAGCATGTGCTGTCATGTTGATACTCAGAAAGTCTTTGATTTGGGCTTTTTGGATTAAGGGTGCTAAACTTGCAGTTACTTTGTCTTTATATACATATATACAAACACTGCTGTGTGTGTGTGTGTGTGTGAATATCATTTGAAAGAAATTGTGAGTGTCAGAGTTCATTCCTGGAATGCTTCTTTCTAAAGCATTTTTCCTGTACGTTGTTTTCCTTGCATAGTCCCACTGCACCAGAATATTTGGGTGCTCATGAGAGCCACTGCTTGCGTGGTTTGACTTCCTCCACAGTTTATCCCTCATTATATTACATTCATGTTGTTAACTGAAATAATCCATCTTTTGAGAGGATCAAAGGTGAGAGATTATTCCAAAACCAAAGTGAGGGCATAAGCCTGGCACAGTCTGTATTGGGTGCTTCACAGCCTTCTGTTTGTCACAGGTTTGTGTGTGTGTTTTTTGTTGTTGTTGTTGTTGTTGTTGTTTTTTTTGACAGGCAGAGTGGACAGTGAGAGAGAGAGACAGAGACAAAGGTCTTCCTTTGCCGTTGGTTCACCCTCCAATGGCCTCCGTGGCCGGTGCGCTGCAGGCGGCGCATCGCGCTGATCCGAAGGCAGGAGCCAGGTGCTTCTCCTGGTCTCCCATGCGGGTGCAGGGCCCAAGTACTTGGGCCATCCTCTACTGCACTCCCGGGCCACAGCAGAGAGCTGGCCTGGAAGAGGGACAACCAGGACAGAATCTGGCGCCCCAACCAGGACTAGAACCCGGTGTGCCGGCGCCGCTAGGCGGAGGATTAGCCTATTGAGCCATGGCACCGGCTTGTCACAGGTTTTATACTTTTCTTTTTTTAACTTTATTTATTTGCATGCATCTCATATATACTTTTCTTACAGGGCTGGTAAAACATTGATTCAGGGCAAACAAGACAGATGTGTGCTATGGTTATCAGTCATATTAAAAATCAAAGAAGGACACCTGGTATAGTTAGAGATTTCGTTATTAAGCTGGTGTGCTGCTGTTATTTATAGGCAGGGAGAGGCGAACAGTGGGGTTCTTGGTCATTCAGATGATGAAGCGGTTAACCATTTTTCCTTTAGTGGCCCTACACTTATTTACTCCTAAAGGGCAGATGTTTCCTTTCCTGGGTCACAGTTCAAGTTTGTTGAAAGGTCAGGCTGAATCCGTGGAGTGGACTTCAGGATGTCTTCTCAGCAGGAGGAGCGTCCCGGTTGACTTAGGCCTCTGTAGTCACCTTTTCCATTCTGAAGTACACAGTATTTTTCTGTTTTGTTTTTGATAAACATATTGTAATTATCCTCTACCACTATCCACCATCACTACTCTCTCTGCTATGTTTTTATTTACATAAAAAATTTTTGGAACAAAATTTGCCATTTAACCATTTAAAAGTATACAATTTATTGGTATTAATAACATTTTGCAATGTTGTATAAGCATTACTGTGTTTTGCCAAAACTTTGCATCACTCCAAACAAGAAACTGTAACTATTAAGCAATAACTTTTTTAAAAAATTTAAAATATATATATATATATATATATATATAGCTGGGTTAGCCAAACAATAACTGTTCCTCCCCGTGCCCTTGTTAAGCCCTCATCTATTTTCTGTCTCTATAAATGTGTCTGTTTTAGTTACTCGATGTCAGTAGTATCATACAGTGTTTGACCTATTGTGTCTGACTTACTTCACTTTGCATACTGTCTTCAAGGTTCTTCCATATTATAGCTTGGATCTGAACATCATTTCTCTTTATGGCTGAATACTACTCCATTGTATATGTACAGAACATTTTATTTATCTCTTCATCTCTGTCGATGGGCACTTGGGTTGTTTCCAGCTTTTGGCTATTTTGAATAAAGCTGCAGTGACAATTGGTGTAGTATCTCTGAGTCTTTGCTTTCATTTTTGGATATACAGCTTGGAGTGGACTTCCTGGGTTGTATGTAATTCTGTATTCCACATCTGAAAGAACTGCTAAACTGTAAACAGTAGCACCATCTTATTCCCGCCAGTAATATGTGAGGTTTTCAATGTTTCCATATCCTGCTATTTTCCCCATTTGATTATAACATCCTATAATGAGTGGTCTCATTTGCTGGTAGTATTTGGTGTCTTTTCTTTTGCATGTTGCCTATTTGCATATCTTCTTTGGAGAAATATCTTTTCAAGCCCTTTGTCCATTTTAAAAATTAGATGATCATTGTTTAAAAAGATTGTTTTGTTTTGAATTGAATGAGATCTAGATAGTAGGTCTTTATCTGATATAGAATGTGCAAGTATTTTCTTCCATTCTTTAGGTTTTCTTTTTATTTTCTTGATACTATCCATTGATGACTAGAAGTTTTTATTTTTTATGAAGTCTGATTTATCCTTTTTCTTTGATTGCTCCTGCTTTTCTGAGTAACAGAAGTTACCTGAGTTAACAGGATCATCAGCAAGTTTATCTGTTGTTAGATGATTTTTCTTCAGGTGATCATAAGTTAGGGCTTGTATTACTCTTTTAGTCCAAGATTTAAAAAAAAAAAAAACACTAATTATAACTATTGAATGCTTGCTATGTTTGAAGTGCTTTAGGGAAACAGGAAAAAAGAGAATTGTATGGAAAAAATGCTAGGAATTTCATTCTTGCCAGGTAGATACCACTGAAGCCTCTTAGCCTTCCAGAGGGATTAGAAGAGACAGCCTGTCCCATCATTTCTCTGCAGAGTTTTCCGTCAGAACTGCCACTGGTACTTCTGCACTGGCTGGGTTCCTGGCATTTGCCCTGTTTCTGGGATCTCCCCACACTTCATTCTGTGAAGCTGTCAGGTTTCTTGTTTCTGCATTTCGTTAAATCTCTTCTTAGCTCATCTAGCTTTTTATACAGTATTCTTTACAAACTGCTTAAGAAACTAGGTAAATGGATTCCATACATAGGGACTGCTATTTTGAACCAGAGTATAAATGTGTTCTACTGCACTTGGAAAGCGAGAATTTCTCCCACATCTGCAACTCTGAAATTTCCTTTTGGAAATCTGATTAAAGTCATCAGTCCTTTTCTGCGTGTGGACGCGCCCAGCGCTCGCGCGGATTTTCTCTCAGATGACCCACTCATCATCTGCCTCCCCACCCCCAATTATAAAAGAGCAAATATTGAGTACCCTGTCAGTGTTTAATACAATGTACTCTGACTCCCCCCCGCCCCCAGCGGATCTGAAAAGAACAATTGCTGTCCTGCTGGATGACATTCTGCAACGCTTGGTGAAGCTGGAGAACAAAGTTGACTATATTGTTGTGAACGGCTCAGCAACCAACACGACGAATGGTGCTGGTGGGAATTTAGTGCCAGTCACCACCAATAAAAGGATCAATGCATCGGGCAGCGTGAGATAGCACTTGAAGATTCCGTGTGCTGCTCCATCCACTGTGGGCTGTATCCTGTCGCAGAAAAGCTTTGTAATCGCTGGTTAGCACAGAGTAAGACTTGACAATTAAAAGCTCTACGTGTTTCTAAGGAACATGCTGGATTCATGGAACTCTAATTCTGTATATAAAGTTTTCAGTGTTGTTAGTTTGCTTTCAGGCAAGTCTCTTCAATGCTGTATTATATCCCTAGAGGGAATTTGACAACATGGTTGATGTAGGAAGCAGATAGGTGATCTTTGTATAAATCTTGTTTTTGAGATCAAACAGAGACAAAAACACTGAAAGACATGGATTTATTTCTGTAAAATATTTATTTAAGTATATGACATGTGTTTCAGACCAGTTGAGAATATGGTTATTGACTCATTCTGTCATTTGTTAATAGATGTAACAGACTAAGGCTATTAGAACACGTGCTTACGTCTAGTACTGTATTTTGTTACTTAGATTATGAGCAGAAAAAGGAAATATAATGTTGAAAAGGTTTTGAAATCATGACCCAAAGAATGTCTTCACTTGCACTATCCTTCAAAATAATGGAAGTTACTTAATGTATATTTTAAAAAATTACATTTGCAAGATTATAATCTTGTAAAGGGTAGCAGCCACTGTCCGAAGAGTATTAGTATTCTAAAAGTTGGGGCAATTTAATAACATTAATACAGCAATCTAATCTCATACTTAAAGTTTTCTTACTTAACATTGTGAAGAATAAGAGATATTTTTATGATGAGATTATAAATAACTAAAATATTCATGATTTTTCATATTCATGAATGTTAACTGAAAAGTTTAACTCCTTGAGTATCTGTGCTGTCAGGAAAGCACATTTCCATATTTGGGTACATTTTGCTTTCATTCTGTTGGTTGGGGAGGAGGGCACTGAGATTTTAGGGAGACCAGGACTCTTAGGACTTGATCAAAACGTATATAATAAAAGTATTTGTACTCCATTAAAGTGCTCGGGAAATGTTAATATTATACAAGAGTGTCCAGCTTTATGAAATTTTGGATATGTATTACAGGTCCATTAGATAACTCATTTTATACAATGACCACTTAAAATAATTAAGAACATTTAAACTATAAATTGTGAAGATTAACTGTCTTTTCAGGAAAACAGCTACTGTATATAGCACAAGAAATCCTAATCTTGGGTAATTCCAGTATAGAACACTCTATTTAAAATTTCCTTTAGCAAATTTAATTGCCATATGGTGCCCTATATTTCATAGTATTTATTCTCTATAAAAACTGCATAAGTGCAGCTAGCTTCTAGATTTAGACTATATTGAATTTAGTTTTGGATATTGTTCATTATTATAATGTGCTACCAAATGTAGTAGCAATAATTACAATATTTTATTAAAATAGCTATGAGAAAATATTGTTTCATGAAAGATGGTTTTCCAAACTGTCTTCTCTGTACTCAACCTTTATGTGAAGAAATCAATTATGTACTGTTGCCAGTAAAGTTCAGAGTAATTGTTGAGTCTCTCTATTAGATGTTTTTATTTTTTTGTTTTTGTTTTCAGGGATCAAATAAAAATATATTATTTGTATTCAAAAAATGTGTTTTTCTTTTATGATATTTATACATTTAATAAATGATAAATGATGAAAAGTAGTAATAAGGTAATTGTGAGTTATGTTTCATTAACTCCAGGTGACTTTTTCAAGAGTGATGTTGAAGGTGCTGTGGATTGGATGTGATTAGTGTGCTCAACTCTTGTTGAGAACTGGTCAGGCCTTTAAGGGATTAGGTGGTGAAGAGCCATTGCTGCAGAGGTAACTAGGTTACCTCCTGTGAGAATGAGCTCTGGCTCCTGTGGGACTGGATTAGTTGCTGTGGGAGCAGGTTGTAACCGAACAAGACTGCCCCTCGTGTTCTGTCTCTCCCACACCACCCACCGCCCTTTCACTCTCCTGCCATCTTAGGACACACACAGCCCTTGCTGTGTGGCCCCGATCTTGGACGTCCAGCCTCCAAACTGTACACCAATTGTCTTGTCTTTGTAGGTTACCCAGATTCAGATGTTTTTGTTTTGTTTTGTTTTGTTTTTGTTTTTTTGTAGCAGATGCAAACAGACTCAGGTTTCCAGCATGCCTGTCCTTTGATGTCTAGCCCGGGATAGGAGAGTAGGGTAATCTTAGTTGGGACAGTAAAACAGAGAGTATCATTAACAAGTCTAAAAACTTTCAAATACTATCAGAGTAATTTTGGATTTACTTCACTCTACTGATTAAAAATAATTTAAATTTAAATAAATTTAATTTAGTTTGGGGATAGCTTAGGTCTCGCTAGTGTTTAAGAAACATGCGCTTGGCTGTGGAGATGGGGAAACTGTTGAGGCCCAGGTGCGGTCTTTCATGGACCATCTTCTTTCAAATGTTCAGAATCTGCCTCGTCTAATTATGTCCCAGGAGCCTCTGATTTGCAGATTGGGTTTAAGTGTGAGCATTTTATTTTTAATCAACACTGATAGCTATCAATATACAATGATATAATGAAACAGATTAATTTTTTGTTTCATAACTGAAAGCCCTGATAGGTAGAGTTACAGACAGAGAAAGGGAGAGACAGAAAGGTCTTCCATCCACTGGTTCACTCCTCAAATGGCTGCAAACAGCTGAGGCTGGGCTGATCCGGAGCTAGGAGCCAGGAGCTTCTTCCGGGTCTCCCGGAAGAGTACAGGGGCCCAAGTACTTAGGTCATCCTCTGCTGCTTTCTCAGGCCACTGCAGAGAGCTGGATCGGAAGAGGAACAGCTGGAACTAGAACTGGCACCCAGATGGGATGCTAGTGCTGTAGGTGGAGGCCTAGCCCACTATGCCACAGCACCGGCCCCCAAAAGCCCTGATTCTTTTTTTTTTTTTTTTTTGGCATTATATCTTTTTTTTTTTTTAATTTATTTGACAGGTAGTTATAGACAGTGAGAGAGACAGAAAAAGATCCTCCTCCATTGGTTCATTCCCCAAGTAGCCACAACGGCCGGCACTACACCGATCCGAAGCCAGGAGCCAGGTGCCTCTTCCTGGTCTCCCATTCGGGTGCAGGGCCCAAGCACTTGGGCCATCCTCCACTGCCTTCTCGGGCCACAGCAGAGAGCTGGACTGCAAGAGGAGCAACCGGGACCAGAACTGGTGCCCATATGGGATGCCAGTGCCGCAGAGGATTAAGAACTTTTGCTAGGGGAATGGTAGGCTTATTGTTTGAGATGAAAATAGGAATAAATGAGGGGCCAGCACTGTGACGCAGCGGGTTAACAGCCTGGCCTGAAGCGCCGGGGTTCTAGTCCCAGCTGTTCCTCTTCCAATCCAGCTCTCTGCTATGGCCTGGGATAGCAGTAGATGGCCCAAGGCCTTGGGCCCCTGCACCCCGTGGGAGACCTGGAAGAAGCTCCTGGCTTCTGGCTCCTGGCTTCAGATCAGCCGTTGCGGCCAATTGGAGAGTGAAGCAGCAGATGGAAGACCTCTCTCTTTGTCTCTACCTCTCTATATAACTGTCTTTCAAATAAATAAAATAAATCTTTAAAAAAATAAGAATAAATGAGAATATAGAGAAACAAAAGTGGGAAAAAAGTCTGAAATCCTTCTACCCAGAGATAACTACTGTTGACATTTTGGTATCTGATCTCCCCCGCCAACACTGCTGACTTCCCATTCCCACTTGAAATAAAATCCGAGTTCTTACTGCCACTCGTAAAGACTAGATTTGCCCCCGGCTGCATCCCAACCTCATTTCTTTTTTCTTTTCTTTTTTTTTTTTTTTTTTTAAGATTTTATTTAAGAGGTAGTTATAGACAGAGAGAGAGACAGAAAGTCTTCCTTTCGTTGGTTGACTCCCCAGATGGCTGCAACGGCCAGAGCTGCGCCCATCCAAAGCCAGGAGCCAGGCGCTTCTTCCGGGTCTCCCACATGGGTGCAGGAGCCCAAAGACTTCAGCCATCCTCCACTGCTTTCCCAGGCCATAGCAGAGAGCTGGATCGGAAGAGGAGCAGCCGGGACTAGAACCGGCGCCCATATGGGATGCCGGGGCTGCAGGCAGAGGATTAACCTACTGTGCTACGGAGCTGGCCCCCCAACCTCATTTCTTACTTCATCTCCTAGCTGACTCCTGTTGGGACATAACTGATTTTACCTCCCTAGCTACAGACCAAACATGCATTGCCCCAGCAGCTCTCACTCCTGGACATCTTCGTGGTCCCCTCCCTGGTGTCATTCAGGTGTGGCGGCTCACATGTCACTGCATAAGGTAAGTCGTCTCTGACCACCTTCCCAGAACAGCCTGCGCGAGCACTCGTGTCTCACCCTTTCTGCTTTTCCTCGTGGGTCTGATGCCTTTGATATTACATTAGTGACTTTCATGGGTTCCAGGCTCTGTGGAGGCAAGGACTTTGGCTCCCTGATGAAACCTGGGTACCCACAGCTTGTCTGGCCTGAGTTAGGGGCTGGCATGGTGGCCCAGCGAATGAAGGTGCGTCTTGCCCTGCTGGCATCTGTATCTTCCAGTGCAGCATCTGCTAATGCATCTGGAAAATCAGTGGAAGATGCCCACATACGTGGGCCCCTGCCACCCATGTGGGAGATGCGGGGGGAGTTCCAGGCTCCTGGCTTTGGCCTGGCCCAGATTCAGCTGTTGTGGCCATTTGGGGAGTGGAGCAGCAGACGGAAAATCTCTTTCTCTCACTGTCTCTCCTTTGCCACTCTGCCTTTCACATAAATAAATCTTTTTTTTTTTTTTTTTAACAGGCAGAGTTAGACAGTGAGAGAGACAGAGAGAAAGATCTGGTTCACCCCCAAAATGGCTGCTGCGGCCGGCACGCTGCGCCAATCTGAAACCAAGAGCCAGGTGCTTCTCCCGGTCTCCCATTCGGGTGCAGGGCCCAAGCACTTGGGCCATCCTCCACTGCCTTCCCGGGCCACAGCAGAGAGCTGGACTGGAAGAGGAGCAACTGGAACAGAATCTGGCGCCCTGACCGGGATTAGAACCCGGGGTACCAGCGCAGCTGGCGGAGGATTAGCCTATGAGCCGCGGCGCCGGCCACGTAAATAAATCTTTAAAACAAAATAAAACATAGTGAGATCCCAGTGGAAAGAATGGGCCATCAAAGAAGGAGGTACCTTTCTCTGAAGGGAGGGGAGAACTTCCACTTTGACTATGACCTTGTCTAAATAAGATCGGAGTCGGTGAACTCAAAAAGCTTCCAGAGCCTTGACAACTCATGACAAGAGCCTAGGGTGATTACTGACACCATAAACAAGAGTGTCAATTTGTTAAGTCAACAACAGGAGTCACTGTGCACTTACTCTCCATGTAGGATCTCTGTCCTTAATGTGTTGTACAATGTGAATTAATGCTATAACTAGTACTCAAACAGTGCTTTACACTTTGTGTTTCTTTGTGGGTGCAAACTGATGAAATCTTTACTCAAGATATACTAAATTGATCTTCTGTATATAAAGATAATTGAAAATGAATTTGATGTGAATGGAATGGGAGAGGAAACAGGAGATGGGAGGGTTGCGGATGGGAGGGAATTTATGGGGGGGGAGCCACTGTAATCCATAAACTGTACTTTGGAAAATTATATTTGTTAAATAAAAGTTAAAAAAAATAAAAGCTAACCAAAGAATCATAAAAAAAATAAAACATTGAGTTTCTAAATCATTTTATACTTTTTACTCTGTACATTTATACATATGTTTATTTTTCAAAGATTAAACCATATATTCTTTTTTGGTATAATGAAATTTTTTGCAAGTCTTTAAGTAACTCATGGTTATCCCATGAGTGTGTGTATATCACAGCTGATGTATCTTTCACTCAGGCTTTTTGGTTGTAGATAAAATATTCAGCTGTAGGTGTGGGCCATATCTAACGCCCATACCTTTTCTTTTCTTTTCTTTTTTTCTTTTTTTTTTTTTTTTTTTTTTTTTTTTTTTGACAGGCAGAGTGGACAGTGAGAGAGAGAGACAGAGAGAAAGGTCTTCCTTTTTGCCATTGGTTCACCCTCCAATGGCCACCACGGCCGGCGCACTGCGGCCGGCACACCGCGCTGATCCGATGGTAGGAGCCAGGTACTTCTCCTGGTCTCCCATGGGGTGCAGGGCCCAAGTACTTGGGCCATCCTCCACTGCACTCCCTGGCCACAGCAGAGAGCTGGCCTGGAAGAGGGGCAACCGGGACAGAATCCGGCGCCCGACTGGGACTAGAACCCGGTGTGCCGGCGCCGCAAGGTGGAGGATTAGCCTAGAGAGCCGGCCTAGCCCATACCTTTTCCATTATTCTCTGCTGTCATTTTAAAAAAAAGTTATTTGAAAGACAGAGTTACAGAGAGGCAGAGAAAGAGAGAGGTCTTCAATCCGCTGGTTCACTCCCTAAATGGGCGCAGCGGCCGGAGCTGCGCCAATCGAAGCCAGAAGCTTCTTCCAAGTCTCCCTCGTGGATTCAGGAGCCCAAGGACTTGGGCCATCTTCTACTGCTTTCCCAGGCTCATTAGCAGGGAGCTGGATTGAAGTGGAGCAGCTGGGACTCGAACTGGCACCCATTTGGGATTCCAGCGCTGCAG